TCCGCCCCCTCCCCTGGTGTCCGACCCTCTTCTTCCCCGCTACAGGACCCGGGCCTCTCTGAGGACCACTGCCCCAGCCAAGCTCTTCTCTAGCCAGCCCCAGCCCTCTGCACCCCGCCCCGGTTATCCCGCTCACCTCCAGCCCGGCCCCTCTTCCCCATCCCGCTCGCCTCAAGCCTGGCCCCACCTCCCCACCACCACACCTCTCCCGGGCTCCTGATTACCCAGCGCCCCGCGCGCCCACCTGCCGGACCCAACCGCCCCGCGGCGCCCCATCCCGACCAACCCCCAAAGCTGCAAGTAACTCCCTCGGGGTCGCTAGCTTCAGGCCGCCGGCTTCAGAAAGCAGACCAAGGGTCAAGTTTGAGGGGCGTCGGGGAAAGAGCTAGGGACCGGCTTGCTGGCTTCTGTAAAAAGCAGTGTCCCCGCGCCTGCCGCATCCCAGAAGACCCTGGAGTCCTCTGGAGAATGGCAAAGGAGCAATAGACAGCCTCTCAGCCGGGCCCTGAACAGGAAAGTGCTTCTAAATCGACATGTCGACCTGTCCGCAAAGTAGACAAAGAGATTACATCTCAAAAACCAACTCAGACAAAAACAAACACCACTCACACCTCCAAGACGCGAGAAAGGGGGCAAGGCACCTTCGTAGAAGGCTGAAAATGACGACAGTTGCACTCAACTCAGGGACGCATCAGAGAGAGGAAGGGAGAGGGAGAGACTGAGACTCCGTGCAGGTGGTGAGTGACTGACTTCAAGGCCCGTGACTATTGAGTTTAACTACAAAGGGACTTAATTGGTCCAAATGCATTCAGTAGGAGCATAATTATACTGGTAAAGGGTTCTGAGTAATTCAGACACCCAACATAAAACCACCCTCTAGTTTGGGGGCTTTCTTACCTTTAATCTATCACCTGTAGAGCCACCCCAGGAGCACTGTGAAATTAATTGGCCAATGTCCCTCCTGGACCCTTGGGATAGGGGAGACTGGGTGAGAAGCATCAGCCCAGGGAGGCTTTCAGTATTACCTAAGGTCAGACATTGGTTCATTCACCTGTTGCAGCAGTGGGTGTTGCCAGTTGACCTGTGTGGGAGTAAGGAGGGGGGATGGGAAGCTACCTGACCTGCTTCACACCCCAAGTGGATTCCTTTCATTTTGTCTGTCGCAGTGCTATCTTGTGTGTAGTACCCAGCTGACATCACTCAAATTGGATGATGGGAGGGTTGGCTCTGCATGGTGCAATAAGAAGTCATTCCAAAGCATTGAGGCACTGAAATCACCTGAGGTCATCCCTCAGAGGATGAGGGTGCAGAAAGACAAAGGGTTCGGTCCAGCTGGATAGCAGCACAAGGTTCCCGTGTCAGAACATAATGCTGACCTCACAATTTCATTTTTTAAACTTACAAAAAAATTTTTTTGAGATAGGTTCACACTATGTAGTCCAGGCTAGCCTTGAACTTGTTATGTGCCCCACCGTGGCCTTAAACTCATGATCCTCCTGCTGTCACTGGAGAAGGTCTGAGGAGCTCCCCCCAGGAAGGAACTAGGGACCTCAATTCACCCCTCAATTCATGGTGATAGGTTGTAGGTTTCCTGATTCCATCACAGAAAAAGAATTTTCAAGGCATGCCAGTGAGAGGCATAAAGAGGTTTATTAGGCAAAATTTTAAAAGTACCTTCTCAGTGTGAACCCTTGAGAGAGGCACAAGATGGTCAGATTTAGGGTTGTTGTCTTCAAAATGGGTGACCTAGAATATGTATTCCTACTGTTTGTCAATTGCCCATCTGCAGGCTGGGGCTATGTTAGAATGTAAACCATGTGCTATATGTGTGTTTGAAGCTGAGATATGCTGCCTGCTTCAGGGTCAGGAAGGGTAATTTAAGGGTGAAAAGCCAGGCCCAGAGCCCAATTTATAGGCTCATTGTGTCTTTAAGACCCTTAGGAGTTTTTTGGGAATAAGTTTCCAAAAGGGAAAAAGATTTGAGTAACTTTGTGTCCTGAAGCTGCAGTTTTTGTAAAAAGTACAATTTGAGTCAGGTGTGGTGGCACACACCTATAATCCTAGCACTAGGGAGGCTGAGGCAGGAGGATTACTGCAAGTTGGAGCCCAGCCTAGGCTACAAAGTGAGTTCAAGGCCAGTCTGAACTGCATAGTGAAACCCTGTCTCAAAAGGACAAAAAAAAAAAAAAAAAGTACAGTTTGAAACTCAACAATGTTCCTTGTTTTCTTCTTACCTATCTTTATTTTCTTTTCTATCCCACCTTGATACTTCAGCTTCCTGAGTGCTAGTACTAGAGGTGTGCACCAGCACAGCCAGCTAACCTCATAATTTTAAAGGTAGGTTGTGCATTCTGGTATGTACTCAGCGAGGTGAAGATGTTGAAATCCATATCAACAAATAACATCTCAAACTGAACAGAAATTTATACAGAATTTCTGTGGTGCTGATTAAGACTGTTTGTATAAACCTAAAGCAGTTATACTGTAGCCTACTGATACTTTGATATCCTTGGGGACTGTCAGTGCTTGCTTTCGTTTATTTATTTTGTTATGCTGGGAAAACAAACTTAGTGGCTCACACCTGCTGGGCAAGTGCTTTGCCACTGAGCTACATCCCTAGGCCAATGGCTGCTTTTATTTATTTATTTAATTTTTTTGAGACAGTGTTGCTGTGTAGCCCATGCTGGTCTCAAACTCACAGCAATCCTCCTGCCTCCTGAGTGCTGGGGTTACAGGCATGCACCACCATGCCAGGCTCTGTAGCTGCTTTAGAAAAAGAAGGAAAGCAGTGAATTTCTCACATCAGGAAAATAGAACGAGCACAAGTAAACAACCTAATGCTGCACCTCAAGCTTCTAGAAAAAGAAGAGTAAGTGAAGCCCAAAGAAGAGAGGAAATTATGAAACTCAGAACAGAAATTAATGCAGTGGAGACTAAGAAAACAATACAAAGAATTAAGGAATCAAAGAGTTGAAAGAATAAAAAGGAAGGAAGTGATAACCTCTGAAAATGTGTGTCTTTGCTCCAATCTGCTAAAATATTGTACTGATCCATTGAAATGCTATGACAAAATACCTTAGGTTTGGTAATTTATGAATTGAATTTTTAAAAAAATTTATTTGTACATGTTTGCAGTACACAATCATTCATTGTGGAGAGTTGGTATGTAAACATGACATCTTAATTCATTTTACTTCCCCTTCCCCTCCTCTCCTAAACAACAGAATTTTTTGCCCAGAACTGTGGGGACAGGGGATTCCCACATAAAGCACCAGCAGATTTGGTGAGTGGTGAGGGCCTGTTCCTCTTGGTTGGCATCTTCTCTGTGTCCTCACCTTGTCACTGGGCTGGGTCTAAGGGTCCTTGAGGCTGAAATAAGGAACTTAACTTACCCTTTTGAAGGAGGTTCACTTACTACTGCAGAGGAAAAAGAATTTTTAGGATGCAACAGTAAAAGGCTCAGGAAGAGCTCATCATCACTTCTCGGCCTTTTGGCTAAGATGAAGTGTAGGAAGGGCTCATCAGCTAGAGATTTAGGACACATTCAAGATCGAGCGGCTGGGGATTTAGCTCAGTGGCACAGCGCCTGCCTGGCAAGCGCGAGGTTGTGAGTTTGATTCCCAGTACTGGAAAAACAAACAAACAAACAAACAAACATCGAGTGCAGCAGCTCAGAGAAATGAGATGCGTTACAGTTTAGGACTGGGAACATTTACATCTCTCAGTATGGGGTGGAAAACCCAAGAAAAAGTGGCCCACCCCCTAGAAGGGTATTTAGCCCATTTTACAAGTATGGGTGGGTTTTTTAAAAAATGGGTAATTTGAATATTCTTCAGATTCAATCAACCTACTCCTTTATTTTGAGATCAGACTCCTCCTGTTCCTTGCTTTCTCAATTAAGCCGATTTATGGACTGTTATACAATTCCTAAGGAAGTTTGGGCAGGATGGGCCTGTAGGGAAGAAGTCTAAATTTAACTAAAGGAATGCTGTTATGCATCGCCTTGGGTAACTTCGGCTGGGTCAGGAAATTGCAGTCTTCTTAAAAGTACAAAGTCCTAGTTATAATTTCCTTGTCTCCTTTCTACCTATCCTTATTTCTTCTATCCTGCCCCCACCTGAGGGAGAGAGTCAGCACTAATTCTGTGCATGAGGACCACACCCTCACAAGCCAGTCCCCTCTTGAGCAGTGGCCCACCTCAGTACAACTCCTAATGCCATCGCCTTTTGGGGTCAGTTTCAAAGTGTGAATCTGGTGGGGAGATATGTGTGGAGACCACAGCAAACACCAGGATTCCAGCCTTGAGTCAGAGTGAGGCCTGGCCCTGTTGGGTTCAGCCAACTCAGACTTGTTTGTTCTGTCTTGCTGTGGTGCTGTTCACAGGCTTTAGGAAATTGGAAAAGGTAGACTGCTAATCGAGTGCTCTGTTCTCTTCTTAGGTCCTGCAGTTCAAGGACCTGGGCCTTGGAAGACCGGGGTCTTGGAGCTCAGACTGAGGTAGGATAGCAGGGGGAAGACATCAGCAGAAAGAAGACAAAGAAATCAGGATTTTAAAACTGTACTTTTAAGAAAAAACTGCAACTTCAGGACACAAAAGCTA